TGGAAAGGACCTATACGAGCTTATTACGTGATAGCTACGAGTGAGGTACGACTTTATGGAGTTGGTTACGAGTTATGTACGAATTATGCCGAGCAGAGCACCGAGTTAACTACGAGATTATTACGAGCGTAATATGAGTACCGTATCTAGGAGTTGGAGTTAACTTCGAGTTTACTACGATTTGAGGACTTGTAGCGCTAATTTTGAACATGTTCAAAATTAGCGCCACGAGTTCAGAGCTGCTATGAGTAGGTAAGAGTCCTCTCCGAGCTTTCCGAATCGTCCTACGAGTTTTTGCCGAGTTTGCCGAGTTAGCAACTCGGCATTCTCTTGAAACTCGTATGCTGAAAAAAACCCTAGTGGGAGAGGGGCTGCCCCTCTCCCACCTAGGTTTATTTCACCCAAGAGTCGTACGATTTCTACGAGTTAAAACTCGTGATCTTTGGAAAGGACCTATACGAGCTTATTACGTGTTAGCTACGAGTGAGGTACGACTTTATGGAATTGGTTACGAGTTATGTACGAATTATGCCGAGCAGAACACCGAGTTAACTACGAGATAAGAGTGTAACAAGTTTGTACCGAATTAGATACGAGTTAGGTACTAAGCACCATTGAAAAATGTTTGGAAGGGTTGTCCTTGAGAGACTTTTACTTTTCGCAAATAGAGGGTATCCCAAGCCGCAGCGGACACGATCTTTGCACTTCACTTGCTGCAGGAGAAAAGCAGACACAAATACAAAACAACATTTACACTTTGCTATTCATTGACCTGATTAAAGCCTTTGATGGTGAGTCGAGACGCTCTGGACAACATCCTTAATCATGTTAGATGCCCTCCAAAGCTGTTGCAGATCATAAGAGGTTTTCATGATAACGGGATGCGATGCAAGCAAGCTTGCAAGTATCATCTATGGGGGTTCTAAGTCGGAACCGCTGACAATGAAGAGCGGTGCGGAAATAAGATGATGTTCCACCTTCTACCCTGTTCGGAATCTTCTTTACTGTAGTTCTATTGCATTAATTTACACTGCCAATCTGGTGTTCATTTGAATTGTATAATGGATGGCAAGCTGCTGAATACAGCTAGACAAGACCAAACATCGATGTTTGCCTGCGCTACTATATGCCGATGATGTATGCTTCTGTGATGTGCTTGAAGAAGGACTGGGGATGATGAACGCATTTTCCACCTTCTGTAAAGAGTTCGGTTTGACTATCAGCCATCATAGTTCAAAGAGCCTGGTTCAAGATGTTGATGATGGTCCTAACATAACATCATGCTTAATAAACTCACCTGTGAATGTGACTTAGACATTTGCTTACCTGTCTATCTATCATTCGTTAAGTAGAGCCTCTCTGGTGTGAGTATCGTCGTACTTGTAGAGGCGTGGACTAGCTCGTGCAGTAATTTTCTTCTCCCCAAGGGCCCCTTCGTATCTGAGCTACTCGGTAAACTGGTAACAGCTGCTTTGGTCTGTCCACAACAGGGGCTATGTGGACAAGTACACCGGGGTAACTCCCTACTTAATTGTCTCGAAAGGTTCGTTATAGTGCACATGAGGCCTACGGTTTATAGTCCTTATCAGAGAAAACTCACCTCCAGAACCATAGGCGGCATGGGCGGCGCCAGGAATTCCCCAACGTGGAGTCCAGTTCCCCGACAAGGGGGTCCAAGCTCCCCGCCAAGTTGTCCACCCCTCCCCGTGGGAGAAAATTGTGTTGATTATGGTATTTTTTATCGCAATAGTGTACAACACCTCGCACATACGGTAGCATTCCTGGCACTAAACAGTTTTTAATCCCTAAAATTTGACAGATTAGTAAGGCATAGGCCTACCTAAATTGTATTTTCGGCAGTCGAGATTTTATTTTCCCGACGACCTTGCTGGAAATTCCTCGACAGGAACCCCCGCTAGCGCCGCCTCTGATAGGCGGGCGTGCAGTTGGATATGGCTGCGTTGCGGCGCCCCTGCCTTAACCGCTCGGCTACGATTGTATGGAAACATGGGGTTTTGTTGTTACCGATATTGTACTTTGAAAGAAGAATTCAGCACAAGAATTGGTAGACTTCCACTATAGGTAAACTCACTGATTGAGTATAGAAGAATAGGATGCTAAACACTTCAATCAAAATCAAAGTCTATCGAACCTGTGCTGTGAGTACTGCTATACGGTAGTGAGGCTTGGACGACCTACGGCAGCCAGGAAAAGAACAGAGATTAAATAAGCCTATACCATCTACGCTGTCTACGAAGGATTCTTAATATCTCATGTCAAGATAAAATCACTAAAAGGTCTTACAAGACTGTGGAATCCAATCATTGTTTATGTTTATAAAACAACAGACTTCGCTGGCTTGGAAATGTATGCAGGATGGAAGATTTATGTATTCCAAAAGCTATACTTATGGTAAAATTGCACAAGGAAACAGACCCTAGAAGACCAAAATTATAGGTATATGGATACATGCGAAAGAGACCCTAAAGGCTGTTAACATTGAGTTAAAACGTGGGAATAAAACCCCCAAAATAGACAGATGTGGAAAACAATAATAGTGAATGATGGTTTTACTGTCATTAGAAAAGAAAAAAAAAGAAAGGAAAATAAGAATAGAAGGTAAAGAAGAAAACGAAAAACTTGCACAACATAAAATAACCCAGTGTTAGATTTTAATTGTTCATACTGTAGAAGGACTTGTGCTGTTGGAGTCTGAATTTTAAATCACCAAAATGACTAGTGCATGTGCATCATAATGTTAAAGTTTCGTTCTTTATTTTTTAAATAATAAATAAAACATATAGTTGTAGATTATCTTTACTAAAGTAACAACTTCAGCAGCAAGGACGAGACACATGTGACTAATAGAGCCAAC